TACGGAAAACCTGGCCAGTCTAGATGCAGCCACAATGTTTAGCAACCACACTGGGGTGGAGCACCATTGGTTAACAGGGAGATATTCTTTCCCTGTCTTGTCACACAGGTTTAAAGTCAGTGGCTCCTTGTGATCACCTTCTGCAGGTGTATTGGCTCACTTTGACACGAAGCTCTTTGGTTTTGACCCCATAAATGATGGGGTTCAGCATGGGGGGGATGAGGAAGAAGAGGTCAGCCAAGATGATATGAATGTGGGGAGCGATGCCGTGACCGAACCGGTGTGTGAGGGTGGAGAACAGGAAGAGAATACAAGATATCAGCATCACACAAATGTGGGCAGTGCAGGTGTTGAGAGCCTTCGGATGGGCCTTCTTGGAGGAGATTCTGAGGACGGCCCTGATGATCAGACAATAGGACAAGGCAACGAGAGTCAGGTCTAACCCAATGACTACAAATGCCATCACCAAACCATACGTCCTGTTGACTGCGATGTCCCCACATGACAGCTTTGCCACAGCCATGTGCTCACAGTACGTGTGGGGGATAATCCGGTTGGCACAAAATGGCAGCCTGCTGAGGAGCAGGGGTAGGGGCAGCATAAAGAGAACAGATCTTATCAAACCCACTAGCCCTAGCATAGCGATGCGTGCATTGGTGAGGATGGTGGTGTATCTCAGAGGGTTACATATGGCCACGTAGCGATCAAAGGCCATTGTCACCAGGACGGCTGAGTGCATCACAGAAACTGCATGGAGGAAGAACGTCTGGGTAAGGCACCCACCTTCAGTAATGCCTTTCAAATCAAACCAAAATATACACAGGGCCTTCGGCACAACAGATGTAGATATGCCGATGTCGGTGAGCGCCAGCATGCAGATCAACAGATACATCGGTTGGTGCAGGGTCTGTTCTTTGCCTACAACAAACAGAACTATGAAATTTCCCACCAGGCCGATAACGTAGCAGGCACAGAAAGGGATGGAAATCCAGACGTGGGCAGCTTCCAAGCCAGGGATGCCCATTAGGATGAATGTTGGAGATTCAGATACAGTGAAGTTGAAAGCTGCCATGATGCGGTTGATGCATTGATTGAGCTCAGCAATGCTCAGGCTGCCTGTGAATGGAACATAAGAACATAAGAATGGGGCCCTACTGGGTCAGATCAAAGGTCCATCTAGTCCAACCTCCTGGCCTCCTGGCAATGGCTATTGGCAGGTGCTTCCAAAGGGAAAGAACAGAGCAGGAAATCCTCAAGTGATCCATCCTGTTACCCATTCCCCTTCTGACAAACAGAGGCTAGGAACACCATTCCTGCCCGTCCTGGCTAATAGCTATTGATGGACCTAACCTCCATATATGTATCTAGCCCTCTTTTGAACCCTGTTAGGGTACATGTACACAGAAGGGCAAAACTCCAATTAAGCTACACAACTCGAGCTACGTCTGGTGCTGTGTACACTCTCTTCCTTTGACTTCCTTTACTCCTCGTAAAATGAGAGTTACAGAAGCTGGAGTAAAAGGTCCTCCAGAGGCATACCGCACTTGCAAATGAATCCCGGGATTTGAATTTCCTGGGCTTCATTTGCATAAGCGGGGAGCCGCCATTTTTAAAACCCCGCTGGTTCGAACTAGCGGGGTAGTGTAGACATACCCCCTTTGACTTCCTTTACTCCTCGTAAAATGAGAGTTACAGAAGCTGGAGTAAAAAGTCCTCCAGGTCAACATTGTTTTGAAATAAAAGCTTGTAGTATAGACATGCAGTATGTTATTTCAGAATAATGCTGCTTTTTAGACATACCCTTAAAGTCCTGGCTTTCACAACATCCTCTGGCAAGGAGTTCCACAGGTTGTGCACTGTGTGAAGAAAGAAGCACAGTGAGGGAGGAAGGGTTATAAACTCTGTAACAAATGGAACAGTAAATATTGTATTGTTATCAACAACTTGGAAAGGGGGGTGAGCAGTGAGATTCCAACAGTTCAAGATGACTACAGATGGTTTAGGTTGCAGTGACGTCCAGAGAAGTCCTCAGATGGAGCTAATAAAGCTTGGTGAATGAGCAGCATGGTGGCACATGAACTTCAATGTCAATCAGTGCAAGATGTCTGGCCATTGGAAGAAAAAAACTTGAACTCCACAGATACCTTACAAGGCTCTAATTTAATTGTGTGAACTCTGGAGAGGATGTAGCACCAGCTCTGTGAACCCTGACACACAGTGCAAGCAGAAACTTATTAAAAGATTGGGATGAAGGAGGAGTAGGAAGGGGAATTGTACAGAAATACAGTGCTACAAGATCAGCCAGTCAGTGTTTTAGCTTTCTCCAGACTCCTCTTTGTAGCAGAATCACAGAGTCATAGAATCTTAGGGCTGGAAGAGACCTCAGGAGGTCACCAAATCCAGCCCCCTGCCCAAAGCAGGACCAATCTCTGGTACTGGGCACCCTTCTTGCAGAGGATATTGCAGAACTAGAAGGATACATGGAGTGATCAAGGAGTCTTAGGACAATGTCCTTTGGAGAGAGGTTGAAAAGTCTAGGACTGCTATCTTACAAAGGAGACAAATTAGAGGAGACAGGAGAAAACCCTATAAGTTACTGACTGAAGATCATTTCATCTGAAGGAGTGGATTTTGCCCACAAAATCTCAGGATATTCTACAAATATTTTTGTTACGACTACTTTTTTTTTATTGTTTTTAAAGTTCCAGACTAACATGGCCACCTCCTGAGACTTTCAAGATCAACAGGACACTCAATTAAACTGAAATGTGGCTAACTCAAAACAGATAAAAACAGTGTTTTCTGCACTTCAATGTGTAATTGGACTGAGAAACTCATTGCCACAAGAATTCGATGAGGCCACAAGCTAAGCCAGAATCAGGAAGGGTTTGGACATTTACATGCACAGTGAGACAATTCAGTTACAATAGTTACAGCTAAAGAAATATTTTGGAAACCTTGTATTCATACAGTTTTCAGGGCACAAGCCAATCTCTAGCTGTCAGGCATTAGGGTGACACTTTCATGATGGTCAAGTCATCCTCCTTTCCACCCACTGCTGGTTTTCTTATACCTTCTACTGCAGCACTCGGGGCTGTCCTATCAAGGAGAGGACATTGGACTTGGTGGAGCATAGGTCTGACCCCTGATGCAGACCCTGTATTGGAAAAGAGCCAGCTGTCTCTCATGGAAACATGGATTAGTTGTAGCTAAGTTAGCCCCCATCATAAGGAATCTGTTCCAGGGGTTTGCTCTTTCAATCTGCCGCTAGTGACTCCTGCATATGGCAGCTGTATTGAACTAGGCTCTCATATGTCCTAGCGTTGCCTGCTGTCATTGACTTCAGCTATGCAATTGATGTAGCTGAAGTGGGGTAGCTTAATTCAACTTTTGCTCTCTGTGTAAGGGTGTGTCTAGACTACATGCCTGCCGTCGACGGAGGCATGTAGATTAGACAGATCGGCAGAGGGAAATGAAGCCGTGATTAAAATAATCGCGGCTTCATTTAAATTTAAATGGCTGCCCCGCTCTGCCGATCAGATGTTTGTCGGCAGATCGGGGCAGTCTGGACGCGCTGCATCGACAAAGAAGCCTTTCTTGATCGGCACAGGTATGCCTCGTGAAACCAGGTTTACCTGTGCCGATCAAGAAAGGCTTCTTTGTCGATGCAGCGCGTCCAGACTGCCCCGATCTGCCGACAAACATCTGATCGGCAGAGCGGGGCAGCCATTTAAATTTAAATGAAGCCGCGATTATTTTAATCGCGGCTTCATTTCCCTCTGCCGATCTGTCTAACCTACATGCCTCCGTCGACGGAGGCATGTAGTTTAGACGTACCCTAAGTGTGCCCACAGAGACCCACTGCAGTCTTTGGCTGAACTTCTTAGCAATAAATAACTGGGCATTACCTCAATTCATTATCCTCCTTTAAAAATATTTTGTGTACACATTCACATATATGCTCCTCTCTAAAATCTACTAGGGTATGTCTACACTGCCACCCTAGATCGAACTAGGGTGGCTAATGTAGGCATTTGAAGTTGCAAATGAAGCCCAGGATTTAAATATCCCGGGCTTCATTTGTATCTTGCCGGGCGCTGCGATTTTTAAATCCCCCTTAGTGCGGACTCCGTGCGCGCGGCTACACGTGGCATGGAGTAGGTAGTTCGAATTAGGCTAATTAGAGAGTCTAATTTAAATCCCGGGCTTCATTTGCAACTTTCAATGCCTACATTAGCCACCCTAATTCGACCTAGGGTGGCATGTAGACATACCCTAACATCCTGAGACAGATAGAAGGACACAGTAAGAGACAGAGAACTGATCTGAAAACACAAATATTTGTCTAAACTATTTCTAATACATTTGTAGTTCCAATGTTACCTGGCTGGTTCTGACAATACTGAACAGTTCCAGTTTCTGTTCTGGTAAATTCCTGCCGAGATGGTTCACGACTTGAACCCTGAAACCATTTCTGAGATCTCTGCGCTAACGGTAAAATTAAGAAAGAAGCCACTCACCAAAATCCTGCTCAGCAGAAAGGAAATCTCTGTATTGCTACAGGAAGGAGCCCTGAGAATAGGTGCATGAATCTCTACGTCTGACCTTCAGCATGATGCACAGCAACCTTTATAATTCCCCTGAACAGTCCCTGTGGATTCTCAGGTTGGCCAGGACTCCCAGACAATTCCCTCAGCTCCATGAGCAGTGGGAAGGGCAAGTAGACCCTGGAGAACTCCAGTGTGAAAAAATCAATTGCAGATCCCAGGGGTGAGATAGCCAAGGTGAATGAGTCCGGCAAGCTGTTCAGCCTAGCAACTGCTGATGCCTTTCTTTTCTGGGCGCAATGTGCTGACATGTCCACGGTTTTGGGGAATGCTGCCACAAGATATGGGACCCAAGAACTGTTCCCATGGGTCACTGTAGGATGCCACTGGGCACCACCCCTAGCTTTACAATATCCAATTGATTAGCCTCTGATCAGTCGCTGCTATCTTGTGGAGGAGTCACTGGCCCTGGAGGAGCCCTCCAACCTCCTGACCTTCAGCGGCCTCCTTATTCTTCCTTTGTTCTAAGGGTGCCGGGTCCATCCATCACCAAGGTTGTGTTGGGTGAGGCCCCCCTATGGAGGACAAATTGCATGATCCAAAGGTGTTCACTTGCATCCATTTTGGAGGTCTATAGTGGATATATAATTGGAAGCTGTAACTTTTCCAATAGCATGGCTACGGCATGATTTTCCGGAAATGCTTTTAACGGAAAAGTTTTCCGTTAAAAGCTTTTCCGGAAAAATCGCGTCTAGATTGGCAGGATGCTTTTCCGCAAAAGCACTTTTTGCAGAAAAGCGTCGGTGGCCAATCTAGACGCGGCTTTCCGCAAAAAAGCCCCAATCGCCATTTTCATATTCTGTCTACACTGGCCCTTTTGCGCAAAAGTCTTTTGGAAAAAGACTTTTGCCTGAACGGGAGCAGCACAGTATTTCTGGAACAGCACTGATGATTTTACATGAGATCATCAGTGCTTTTCCGGAAATTCAAGCGGCCAGTGTAGACAGCTGCCAAGTTTTTCCGCAAAATCATTTGATTTTGCGGAAAAACTTGCCAGTCTAGACACAGCCTAAGGGTATGTCTAGACTACAGTCTTTTGTTGACAGAGGCTTTAGTATGATACTGCCAAGTTTTGTTGACGGCTGTAAACCTCATTCTGCGAGGAATAACACATTATCATACTAATGTGCAGGGTAGGAGAGATCAGGGCATCTCCACCCAGCAAGTGAAAGAGGTTTGATCTGGGTTTTGGTTTAGATTGCCAAGGCTGACCAGTATGAAAAGGCAGGGGGTTGACCTTCAAGTCCTAAACAATTGAATCAACTGGTTGTACAAAATAGGACTGTACTCTCAAAGGGTATTGAGCAAGTATGACATTCTCTGAGTTCAATATGATCCTATAGATAGAGCATTGTTGCAACCACCTTGACATACTTGCAACAAATACTTTTCAAAATGTGGCATGTGAGGTGTCTAAGGAAAGGTTCTGATCTGTGGGTTGTGAGTCTGGTATTTATATGCATGT